ATGTACATGTATGTATATATATATATGTACATGTATGTATATATATACGTGTATGTATATATGTACGTGTATGTATATATGTACGTGTATGTATACGTGTATGTATATATGTATGTATATATGTACATGTATGTATGTATGTATGTATGTATATATGTATGTGTGTGTGTGTATATATGTATGTATGTGTGTGTGTATGTATGTATATTTATATATGAATGGTTTAAGAGTCTGTTGTCCCTTCCAGGACATTTCTGGGGATGGAAGTGTGTGCTGGGCATGCTCAGTTGTTGGACCTGGCCCAAGCAGTGGACAGAACAATGAAGGAGTTTCGCCTGGATACTTTCTATACGGTGACTGATCGACTCATTTTCACACACACACACACACACACACACAAATAGATTTTATCCTATGAGGTCTACAGCTGGACCCGTTTGTGTTTATTCTGTCTCTGTTGTTGAATTGTTGATTTCTATTGTTCCCTGTGATTTATTGTAGAAATAATTAGCAGTCAGTGACTAATTGTACAGCAATGTTTTGTCTTAAATCTATAAACATATCGTAGTTTATTGCTCGCTACAATGTTCCCTCCGCGGTGTTTTCTAGGAGCCATCGTTCCACGTGAGTCTGGCCTGGTGTGTCGGAGACTTGACGGGACAGATGGAGGAGTGCATTCAGGAGATGCAGGTACTGGGACATCTCGACTGTTAAAACTGTTGTTCCTCAGTCCATTTAAAAAAAGAAGTGCCCCAGTGCGTTTGACCCGTTTTGTATCAGCAGTTTATCGCAGCTGTATCGGTGTCAGCGTACGTGTAGGCTTAGAATCAACAGCAGTACAAAAATGCCCGATGTACAAGTGAGGTGATTTATGAGCGGTCTCTATTTTATAGTTTGTCCATCAGAGAGCGCATAAGAGTGTATCTGTTAGCTATAAAATGCCCCCACTCCAATTCGACACATTCTTAAAGCTCTCAAGCAACAGTGGAGCTCTAAAAAAAAATCATACTGCAGTCTGTTTTTTTTGCATCTGCTCAACACCCCTGACCACTGGACTCCTACAGGATAAGACTTACAAGAGTTTTGCCTGAATGACTTTTGCAGAACTTACCTGCTGATTTCTGTTTGTCTTCTTCCTTTTGACCAAGAGTCTGATTGATGACCACGAAGAAGGACCATTTCTGTTGCGGTTGGACTGCGTGGAGTTGCGCTGCAGCACGGGAAACAAGACCTTCCGCTTCCCTCTGGAGCCCTAAGATCTGACACATTTAAACCCTTACCACTGTGTTGATGTTGAGTTGCAGCACACAAGAGCTAGAAACAAAGACAATCAAGGCTCAATGGGGAAAAATATATGAGTTGTATTTTAATACCGTATATAAATAAAGTAGTGACTGGTTTTATATTTCATTTTGCATGGGACAATACTAATGCTACGAGATGTGGTCAGTGTTCAGGAAGGTTGTCTTTTAGAGAATTCTGACGCACGTGTGAGAAGCTGCACATGTGAACAGGTGACATGCAAAAGCCTTCAATAACAGGAAGTTGTGGACTTTAATCAGTATTGAAACCTCGCCGAGTGGTTCATATTTCTTGCCACTTACCTCACAGGAGGGAATTAGTCGTGTCAGTAATGACCGTTATGTTAATCTCAAGGCTCTACTGTTCTAGAGCGTGAGAATCAAATGTTTTTACATGATGGATGTGCTGTAAAAAATTAAAGTCAAGGACTGAATTGTAACATTTGAAATATTTTACTATATAGAAGGCCGCACATGTTTATTACACACATTTATGATAGTTCACAGCAGCTATGAAGTCTTGGTCTGGCCCAGTGAGGGCTGGATGGCACAGTACAATCACTCAGGACAGAGATTCTGACTACATGTTCACAAAGACAAGGAGTCAACTTTTAACCTCTAAAGTGAAGTTTAAGTCTGTCAAAAGAGAAACAAGATCAGATTTATACCATAAAACAACCCAAAAAAGTACCCTCATTTGTGCCTGTGAACATCCAGTGCTTCAAGCCACCTGGCTTTTTAAAGCAGGTCATTTAATTTTAGAACTTGCGATTGCTTACAAATGCTAAAACACCAAGAAAAATACCGCCTCTACTAAAAAAAAAAAAAAAAAAAAAAAAAACAGAAGCAGAATTTAAAATTCATTTGTTTGTAGTCTTAGAAAATGAGCTAGTAATTAGACCTCGAGGTAAGTTGTGTATTTCTTTGACACATCATTTGGTTGAAATGTTTGAATCATTTGTTTTGAGAGTTTGACAGAACAAGTCTTAACTAGGAGTCCACTTGCTCACTTTTTTTTCCTGGAGCTCCCAACTGTACCTCTCGTCTCCATCGATGAATAGAGCAAACTCGATGGATGAACTGGATTTCTTTCATTCAATTAAACCATAAGATACTATTAAATGGACTTTGAGCTCAAATTTGTAAACGTTTATTCTTGTTTGACTTTTGTGCGTCTTCAACCTGACTAAAGTTAATATGCCGGATACGGTTCCTGTCCTTCAGCGCACACACACGACACGGTAAAAATGCACAACACAATTAAAACAAAGCTCTCAGACCATCAGGGACGTACAGCTTGACTGCAAAAAAAAAAAAAAAAAATCACTAGAAATCAAAAAACAAATAATTAAGCAAGTTTACCGAGACATGTGACCTGTTGCACTGAGAAAGACACAAAAACAGTAGTAGTAACAGAGTCCAGAAATCTCTTTCACAACATTAATAAAAATATCTGACTTTGATTAAGTGGCACACACACAGTATAGCACTGGTTTTTGACTTGTGCATACATGCGTCCTATATCATATCGTGGATTAAATAGGTAAATTCACAGGTTATTAAAAAGCTGAGACCGATATAAAAAGTCTTTGTAGTCAGGCTTACCCAACAGTAAACAACCTGGCTGTAACATTATTTGTATAATTACAACTAAAAATGTATTTAAAATGAATTCCACAAAATTAAAATAATTTTTCCTAAGTACAGGGGAACATTTTGGCAGTCGGTGTTAAGAGAGACAGGCGAGATTAGTCGGGCCCTGTCTGTCCTTTATATGGCTGTGTGGAGTTTAAAAATGTCAATGTGGATGAAGCCAAGGGCCTCAGTTCGTGACCAGCGGCGTCACGGGGAGAACAGCACGGTCTTGATGTACGCCACGGTCGTGTAGTTCAACAGCATGTCCACGTGTTCGTTCCCGGGGAGCTCTTTCAACGTCACCGGCTGCTTTTGCTTTCCCACCCACCGCCCGCACTGGACGGCGCTCAGTAAGTTCACCGTCCCGTCCCCGTCGCCGAGCACCGGCGTGGGATCCACGTCGGGGAACTTGTCCGAGTACTGGAAGGCCTCCGCCGTGGCGACGCCGCTGCCGTACAGGCAGTGGACGGCCACGCCGGGGGGCGTGAGGTCGGCCACCAGCGACTCCGTGTCCTGCCGCATCAGCCAGCCTTCCTCAAAGCCGATGTCCGAGTAGAGCCGCTTGAAGTCCAGCACAGTGTAGTTGGTGGTGGGTGTCTGCACCAAGACCTGGTGATGGATGGAGAAAGAAAAAAAAAAAAAAAGAAAAAAAAAAGAGAATAGTTTCTCTTCTACCAATTGCTTAAGAACACGGTATCTTCACTCTAACTCAATTACATTTTCATCCAAAATAGTTTTTTCCCCATCCCGGAGTTTCTAAAGATAACCTAAATAAGCTAAATGTTTCATTCTAACAAAAAAAGCAATTTTTTTAATTCTGTATTTATCCAGCATGCTGTGATTTATATTGGTAATCGACACCGCTGTCTGTTTGCTGGCAGTGCATTATGTGGGTTCAACAGGTTCCCCTTTACTTCAATTTATAGCTGCATTAATTGATTTGTGTCACCTTAAAAAGATGTTTTGGTGATCACGAGAGTCGTGTTTTTGTCTACTTGACTAATGTAGGTGCAATATTCACTCTCCTTTAGCTCCATTTTGGTCTCCACCAACTCTCGAGGGAAGTAATGGGCTCTTAAGCTGCCAATTGCTCCACTATGTTCGCCGGCTGGTTGTAAACGTTCTCAGTGTGCTGTGTGGTCGGTTCATCCGAGCTTTTCGACTGGAAAAAGGCTGCCTGCTGCTACTGATGACAGTTAAGTGCTCGCTGTGATAACCCCCAAAAAATGAGCTAAAAGATGGTAATTCTCAAATTGGTCCACACACAAAGATAGCTGTACAAGTACGTGTATATACACACACACACACACACACACACACACACACACACACACACATACACACACACACACACACACACACACACACACACACACACACACACA